TTTTATCGACTATTGTTGCGAAATTGCATCTACGAATTAAATTCAACCGTGTCAAGGTTCGGACATTTGGCATCACACTGGAACATTCCTTTTCAGAGCAGATTTTTCTGGTAGTGACGGACTTTTTTTCCATATAGACTACAATATTTTTCTTCAATGGTATGCAACTGCATATTGTGCAACCTTAGGAAGATAAGGAGGTGGCTTTGAACGCTAAGGCGCCGAACACCAACGGATGCCATGGGAACCAGGGAACTAAATTTAGTTCTAATTGTATATGTATTGAATATATATAATTAAAATCTTGAAATTTTATACGGAATACAGGTTGGTAAATGATGTAAATGTATGGAAATGATTTTAGAAATTCATACTTATATGTATGAAAAATACTGAATGAAAATGATTACTGTTGAGTATTGGGGTATAGAGACAACTTGGAAATTCGTATATATGTGTACGAAAAGTACTAAACGACTTTAAATTTGGTACAGTTTGGATTTGGGTGAACGGAGAGAGAGGAAGGTGTTAAAACATTTTGAATAATGGTTGCTGTTGGAGTTTTGTAGAACGAGATAGACACTTTTGAGAATATGCATAGAATCACTTTCTGAGTCGATTTACGCATGTCCGTCTGTCCGTCCATGTATTTTTGTGAACAAAGTATAGGTCGTATAGTTCGCTTATTTGGCGCAAGGGCGAACCCAATGGAAATTGGTAAAAATCGGTTGAGATTTAGATATAGCTCCCATATATTTGTTCGTCCGATTTACTGTAAAAGGTGCAATAAAGTCCCTATATTTCTCTCGATTTGCACAAAATTCGGCACAGCGTAATGAATTAAATCTAGAATGATGTGTGTTAAGTTTCCTAAAAATGGGTTCAGATTTAGATATAGATGTATAGATATATTTAGATATAGCTCCGATGTATATTTTCGTCCGATTTTATGTAAATGGTGCACCAAAGACCCTATATATTTTTCGATATGCACGAAATTAGGCACAGCGCATTAAATTGAGTCTAAAATGATGTGTGCTAAGTTTCGTGAAAATCGGTTCAAATTTAGATATAGCTCCCACATATATTTTCCTCCGATTTTATGTAAATGGTGCACCAAAGTCCCAATATATCATTCAATTTGCACGAAAATTGGTACAGCGTAATGAATTAGGCCTAGAATTATGGTTAAGTTTCTTGAAAATCGGTTCAGATTTGGATATAGCTCCCATATATATTTTCGTCCGATTTAAGGTAAATGGTGTACCAAAGTCCCTTAATATCTTTCGGTTTGCACTAAATTTGGCACAGCGTAATGAATTAGGTCTAGAATGATGTGTGTTATGTTTCCTGAAATCGGTTCAGAATTAGATGTAGCTTCTATATCTGTCCAAATGAAAAATTTAGTATCGGTTGCAGAATGGCATGTTTATGGATCCAATTTCATTTTACTGGTCCTTTAAAAATGCGACGTCTGTTAGCATTCATCTGTTGAATATACCCAAAGTGGTGAAGGGTATCGTATAGTCGGCCCCGTCCGACTTTACTTCTTTCCTTACTGGTTTTTTATGTGAACGGATAGGGCTAAAATCCTGATTGAGGCATGGAGGTAGTTTCAAAATTTCGTAATTAGGTATACTAAATGGAACTAAACGGATACAAATGGAACCCTGAAATTTCAATTAAGATTACTGGTAGAAATATGCTTGGGGTAGTTTAGGAAATTATTTCTTATAGGTACGAAAAGTACTAAATATGGTCCAATTTGGATTTGTGTGATTGGATAGGGCTGAGATCCTGAAATTTGGAATCAAAATTACTGTTGGAGTGTAAGATCGAGGTTGTTTTGCAAATTCGAAGTTATGGCTACGAACAATAATAAATATTGTAGAAGTTGAATTTTTGTGAAGGTAGGGCTAGGACACTGAAAGTTTTGCAAGGTTGAGGTAGTTTTGAAAATTCGTACCTATAGGTTACGTAAGCTGCTAAATGGCAATAATTTGATACAATTTAAATTTGGAAGAATTATTGGAATTTACATTACTGTTGAAATTTGTACTTATTGGTACTAAATTGCACTAGCTATGATCAACTTTGTTTCTTTGTGAACGGATTGGGCTGGAATCCTGAAATTTCGAATTTGGCACGAAAAGTGCCAAATATGGTGCAATTTAGATTTATGCGAACGGATAGGCCTGAGATCCTGAAATTTGTAACTATAATTACTTTTGGAATGCAGGACTGATATATGGTAGTAATGTTGGTACAATTTAGATTTGAGTGGGAAACTTACATTTGGAATTAAAACTGTAGTATAAGGTAATATTGAAATGTTGCAACTGAAAAGCAAATGATTAGAAAAGCGTAATTGGGAACCACGAAATTGTTTTTTTCTAAAACAAATTATTTTCTTCCACGATCGAACTATTTTCTGATATGTAATGTCAATAAAAAAACAATACGAAAAATAATTCATTCAATATTCATTAAAATGCAGAAGACGATACATTTTGTGGGTGGTACAAGTAGCAAAAAGCACGTTTTGATTTTCAATTACGATTAAGTTGCTGTTTGTATTGAATAGTATTTGAGTATTCAAACTTGATGCAGATAACGAAAATAATGTCATCAAGAGATATTAGTTGAAAAATTGTATCTAAATGATATAAAGCGGCTGACAATTTTTGCAATAATCTTTAACCAGTAAGGAAAGAAGTAAAGTCGGACGGGGCCGACTATATGATACCCTTCACCATTTTGGGTATATTCAACAGATAGAATCCTAACAGACGTCACATTTTTGAAGGACCATTAACAAAAAATTAAACATGCCATTCTGCAACCTATACTAAATTTTGGTCAGATATAGAGTTGCTTCTTGCAATGGGACAAAATTATGGAAATAAGTTTAAAGCAAAATATCGAAATCCAAACCGATTTCATCGAAACTTGCCACATGTTAGGTTACACTTATTTCAGTATGTTTTGTGCATTCGACCACATTTTGAGTTCTTTATATACTTATAAATCCAAATTTCGTGCAAATCGAAGGATATATAGGGGCTTTGGTGCATCATTTACATAAAATCGGTAGAAAATATGTATGGGAGCTATATCTAAATCAGAACCGATTTTCACGAAACTTAACACACATCTCTCTAGGCTTAATACAGTACGCTATGCCAATTTTCGTGCAAATCAAAGGATATATAGTTACATTGGTGCACCATTAACATAAAATCGGAGAAAAAATGTATATAAGAGCTATATCTAAATCTGAACCGATTTTCACGAAATTTAACACACGTCGTTCTAGACTAAATTCAGTACGTTGTGCAAAATTTCGTCCAAATCGAAGGATATATAGGGACTTTGGTGCACCATTTACATAAAATCGGACGAAAATGTATATGGGAGCTATATCTAAATCAGATCCGATTTTCACGAAACTTAACACATATCTTTCTAGGCTTAATTCAGTACGCTATGCCAAATTTCGTGCAAACCGAAGGATATATAGGAACTTTGGTGCACAATTTACCTAAAATCGGACGAAAATATATGTGGGAGCTATATCTAAATCTGGACCGATTTTCACGAAATTTAACACACATCATGCAAAACTTAATCCAGTATGCTATGCCAAATTTCGCACAAATCGAAGAATATATAGGAACTTTGGTGCACCATTTACCTAAAATCGGTCGAAAATATATCTAAATCTGAACCGATTTTCACGAAATTTTAAACACATCGTTCTAGACTAAATTCAATACGCTGTGCCAAATTTCGAGCAATTCGAAGGATATATAGCGACTTTGATGGACCATTTACCTAAAATCGGACAAAAATATATGTAGGAGCTATATCTAAATCTGGACCGATTTTCAGGAAATTTAACACACATCATTCTAAACTTAATCCAGTATGCCAAACTTCGTGCAATATATATATATATATATATAGGGACTTTGGTGCAACATTTACCTAAAATCGGACGAAAATATATATTGGAGCTATATCTAAATCTGAACCGATTTTTCCCAATTTCAATAGGGTTCGTCCTTGGGCCAAATAAGTGAGCTATGCCAAATTTCATCCAAATCGGATCATAAATGCGACCTGTACTTTGTTCACAAAAATACATGGACGGACGGACGGACGGACATGCGTAAATCGACTCAGAAAGTGATTCTATGCATATTCTCAAAAGGAACCATGTGTCCAAACATATCTCGTGTTCCTTTTGCATGACAATAAAAAACAAACATATACACAAAGACATAATACGCTGGACCACAGTGTGTTGAAGGGTATAAATATCAGCAATGTATAAATGAGGAAAAGCCTTAGTAAAATACAGCTAAAGGATGAACAATGTTGATTTTGTGCATATGTTTGTAGCAGTTAATAGGAAACGAGACTGAATATGCATAGAACCATTTATGTCTGTCTGTCCACTTTAAATTTAAAAAAAAAAAAACTGTAATAGTAATTGTCGCATTTTTTATCCGAATCGGATGAAATTTGGCCCAGTCCACTTATTTGGCACAAGGACAAATTCGTTTCAGATATATAGGTTTGTCCGTTACCACAATATTTCACCCAATTCACAATTTTTGTCCGATTGAGACAAAATTTTCCACAGCGCACTGAATTAAGTACAGATTGACGTGAGTGGAGTCTTGTATAAATCGGTTCAGATTTATATGTAATTTCCATATAAATAGGGAATCAATGCCCCTATATTTCTTTTGAATATATTTATTTCGAATCACTCGAAATTGTGCATAGCATATCAACTTGAGGCTATAGCGATGTATGTAAAGTTCACATATATAGATGGGAAATTACAAAAATGTTTTTATAAAGTCATGTAGAAATCAGGACAATCTTGTTGAAAAGAAATAGAATGAAAGAGAGTTTTTAATAATTGGTTCTTATATTTTCTACAACTAAACTGCTTACAAATTATTATTATTTCATTATTTTTTTTTAGATCAATGGGAATAGCTGCTGCTAGATGCGGAAGCTTGGGCATTAGATGATGCATATGAACCAGAATTTCCACCATAGCCACCTTTCTTGCCTCCTCCAATACCAGCACCCAATCCAACACCAATTCCAGCTCCTAATCCACCACCAGTGCCAAATCCTGAGCTTTTACTGCCACCAGCACCTAATCCTGCACCAATTCCAACACCTAAACCGCCGCCAGTGCCAAATCCAGAGCCTTTACCACCTTCAAATCCGCTTCCTTGGCCACCTCCATATCCGCTTCCTTGGCCTCCACCTAATCCACTACCTTGACCGCCGCCAAATCCGCTACCTTGGCCACCTCCATATCCACTACCTTGGCCACCGCCAAATCCGCTACCTTGGCCTCCACCTAATCCACTACCTTGACCACCGCCAAATCCGCTACCTTGACCACCGCCAAATCCGCTACCTTGGCCTCCACCAAATCCGCTACCTTGACCGCCACCAAATCCGCTACCTTGACCACCGGCATATCCGCTACCTTGACCACCACCAAATCCACTGCCTTGACCACCGCCATATCCACTACCTTGGCCGCCACCAAATCCGCTGCCTTGACCACCGCCAAAACCGCTACCTTGACCACCTCCAAATCCACTGCCTTGACCACCTCCAATTCCGCTGCCTTGACCACCGCCAAATCCACTGCCTTGGCCTCCACCAAATCCATTGCCTTGTCCTCCACCCAAACCACTACCTTGACCACCGCTATGGCCACCGCCAAAACCACCACCATAGCCGCCATTACCGCTATTACCAGCATAAGCACCACCATAACCTCCACGGTTACCATGTTTTTTGTGGCCATGTTCTTCACTGCTGGAATCATCTTTTCCAGCACCACCGCCAAGTCCTAATCCTAGACCCAGATCTAATCCTAAACCAAGTCCACCACCACCTCCTCCACCCAATAATCCTTTATTCTTCTTGTGGGGCTTAGGCGATGCAGTGACCATTGCCAACACAGCCAACGTCATTAACAAAACTACGAAGCGTTTCATTTTTTACTGAACCGATTTGTTGATATTTTATCCGATTTCGATTTTAATTCAATTAACTTCCAATATCCGATAATCTGGAGATGTCACAATGTACTGACCAGCTGGATGAAATAGCCTTGGCATTTATAGGTAATCTTTGAAGTATTAAATATTCTGGACATGCTGTTTTGCGCTGTATCCCCCAAACTGTTTACTCTTATCAGTTCTTAGTCATTTCGTAGAAAAAAATTTAACTTTTTTTGGATTATTTCATTAACTCGATGACAATGGGAAAAAATAAGATTCGCTTATAGGCAGTGACAGCGACACATTGATACCCTCTTGGCACGCGTCATAGAAAACGACTTCGCTGGAACTAATGTTTTTTTTTTATTTTGGAAAATGTGGGAATAATTCGATATTGCGTACGAAATTAAAACGGTCGGCTGAACGTGATTCCGGAAATATCACTAATTAATTCATTGAAATTCATAATATGGCACCCTAATGTAGATTTAAATTTACGTCTATGTTTGTTGTATTAATAAATTGTGCGATTGTAGGGTGAATTAGTTTGTATTTTACATTATTCTGTAGTTATAATGAACTTGTCAATTATCAGCGTATTGTTGTTGCAGGGAAATCCAATTTTTAACATTCATCTTCACGATATCGATGACATGCATTTTGATTGTCATCGATTGCGTAATTAAATCATTAATAAGGGATAAGACGATTTAAGGGGACCCCCCCCCCATTCTCGGGGTCAAAATTTTTTTGATTTAATTCGATTCTACACTAATACAAGAATGACTCTACAAAATTTCAAGTGAAAATCTCAAGAACTCTTGAAGATATAACCGATTTATTGTGTCAGCATCAAGTGACGGCTAAAGGGCTTCTCAAACTTTAAACGCGTTTTTCTCTTTTGCGAATGGCGGGCACGATAACTCTAAAACTAATGACCCAATCGATTTCAAATTTTTACACGTTTCTCTGTGAGTGTATAGCTATGGTATGAACTAGGATAAAGCCAATCGGTGAAGATCTTCCTTATTTTTTAACTTGGTTTTTGGTCAAAAATCGGCGATTTTTCAAAAATATCAAAGGTCCGCCATTTTGTTAATTTTAGAGCGAAGTCAATAATCCTAGTTCATACGAGACGACATGTACTTTCTAACACCGTTGGAATTTTCGGATTCCGATGGTCCAGTGAGGAGTTATCATGCCCGCCATCAAAAATAAGGACTATTTTTTAATTACAAAAAACAACAACAAAACAATAACAAAATTTTTTTGTAAATTATTTTTCTTCTTTTTTAAATCTTCAAATATATATGTGCATGCAAACCTTAACAAGCATTGGTATTGATTTACCAGCCCATTGAAAATCTTGAAAAATTAAAATAGAGAATGGGTGGGGTTCCCTTAAGTAATTTCGATTATTTAATATTCGACATCAATAGGTTTTTTTTGGTTCATAAATAAAAGTGGTATTTTTTGAAGGATTGTCACGGATTTAAAAAAAAGAAACATTGCATGAAAGTAGGTCCAAGCTATAATCATGGATGTCTCTACAAGAAGTTCTTGGATGTTGAGAAACCACTTTACTGAAAATTATTTATATAGGTCCATGCTTTAATAAAGGCCGACGACCAATCAATTGCCAGTGTTGAAAGTTGTGCACACATTTTGAAGGTTCTTGAAGGTTATAGACTCACTTTTCCGCCGAAGTGGCTTTGACCTGGTTGTTGAGGGGATAAATATCTTTACAGACCATTTTCAACATAAGTTCATATTCATAAGAAGGCCCACGTTGGGTGCCTATAAAACAACTCGGAAGCGGACTTGGTATGGCTTTATCCGAAACAAACGATTTAAGCTCCCATAAATATTTTCGTACGACTCTATGTAAATGGTGCACCAAAGTCCCTATATGTCATTCGACAAGCACGAAATTTGGCATTGCGTACTAAATTAGTCTAGCATCATGTGGGTTAAGTTTCGTGAAAATCAATTGATCTGGTTGTTGAGGGGATGAATATCTTTACAGACCATTTTCAACATAAGTTCATATTCATAAGAAGGCCCACGTTGGGTGCCTATAAAACAACTCGGAAGCGGACTTGGTATGGCTTTATCCGAAACAAACGATTTAAGCTCCCATATATATTTTCGTACGATTTATGTAAATGGTGCACCCAAGTCCCTATATGTCATTCGACAAGCACGAAATTTGGCACAGCGTACTAAATTAGTCTAGCATCATGTGGGTTAAGTTTCGTGAAAATCAATTCAGATTTAGGTATAGCTCCCATATATATTTTCGTCTGAATTAATGCAAAAAGTGCATCAAAGTTCCTATATATCTTTCGATTTAAACAAAATTTGACATAGCGTACTGGATTAGGTCTAGACTGATATTCCTATATATCTTTCGATTTGAACGAAATTTTTCATAGCGTATTAAATTGAGTCTAGAATGATGTGTGTTAGTTTTCGTGAAAATCGGTTCACAGTTCACAAAATTGTGTACAAAGTAGTGAAGTTAGTACAGTCTAACGTGGGGAAAGTTTCGTTGAAATCGGTTCCGATTTGGATATAGCTTCTATATATATATATATATATATTCCTCCGATTTTTAATACATTATACACCAAGGACCCAAAATATAGCCGATATGCTCAAAATGTGCTAAAAGTAGTATAAACTAACTGTGACAAATTTCATTGAAATCGGATTATATATAGTTTCCATTAATATTTGGAACTTTTCCAAAAGTATCGCCTTCATATACACAAAAATATGTAGGGTATCATTGAGTCGATCTCTTTGGACTTTGTATTTTATTTCCTTTTCGGTGTGAAATACATTTTTAAATAAATATATCGTCATCAAAAATGCAAACGGACGTAACTACAGAAAAATTAGTTTTCACGACAGAGGGGTCTACGATCCGAAACGACCCGAGTCTTACTCGGTCAACGTCTTTCACCTCAGCCCATTGTGTAAAATCAGTAGGGCTACAACAACAACAAACAACAGAAAAATTCGAAATTGACTTTTTGTTTGATTATCGTTCGTCTAATCAAACTACATGTTCGCACAAAAATTTCTTATTAAGGGGACCCCCCATTCTCGGGGTCAAAATTTTTTTTATTTAATTCGAATCTACACTATTTCAAGAATGTCCCTACAACATTTCAAGTGAAAATCTCAAGAACTCTTGAAGATATAGCCGATTTATTGTGTCAGCATCAAGTGACGGCTAAAGGGCTTCTCAAACTTGAAACGCGTTTTTCTCTTTTGCGAGTGGCGGGCACGATAACTCAAAAACTAATATTCCAATCGATTGCAAATTTTTACACGTTTCTCTGTGAGTGTATAGTTATCGTATGAACTAGGATAAAGCCAATCGGTGAAGATCTTCCATATTTTTTAACTTGGTTTTTGGTCAAAAATCGTACGAGAGCCAGACAATTACACTGTGCAGCACTAAAATCTTGAACCAATCGAGACCCCCAAAATCTTGAAGCTTGTGATGGTGGAAGAAAATCCCTAGCTGGGTTTTGCATTATTAGCTAAGTTTTTTTTTTTTAATTAATTTTTAAAATATTCGACTGGGGGTGGATTTTAGCACAATTTTCGAATAATACTATATCTATATCTCGTAAACTATTCGAAATATTGCTTTTCTCTCTTAAGCAATATTTTAATTAGATCTAAAAATTTTCTTTTGAGATAAAATCAATAAAACAACACCATCATACTGAAAATAGCACAACTGCAAGAAAATTAAAATTTCGACTTACTTTTTCCATGTTTAATTTTTACTTCAATTTTGTACCTATTTATTGAAAAAAGCATAGCAATTTTTATTTCTATAAACATACAATTGGGAGTGAATTTCTTTGGTTCATTTTGATGAATTTGTGAGGCTATAACTATGTGAAGGAGTCAACCAATGAAATCGGGGTTTTAAGAAGAGTTGTTTGATTTGCTATTGGCTATCTTTTTGTCATATATTTTTTGTCCGAGTCAGTAGCAGTTTCTGAAATAAGTGTGAAAAACATGGAAAAAGTATGTCTAAATTTTAATTTTTTTTGCAGTTGTGCTATTTTCAGTATGATGTTGTTGTTTTATTGATTTTATCTCAAGAGAAAATTTGTAGACCTAATTAAGAGGAAAAATATTGCTTAAGAGAGAAAAGCAATATTTCGAATAGTTCACGAGATATAGACTCAATAATAAGTACGTATTATTCGAAAATTGTGCTAAAATCCGCCCCAGTCGAATATTTTAAAAATTAATTTAAAAGAAATCCTTAGCTAATAATGCAAAACCCAGCTAGGGATTTTCTTCCACCATCACAAGCTTCAAGATTTTGGGGGTCTCGATTGGTTCAAGATTTTAAAGTTGAAAAATGTGTCACTGTGTTATATCGGAGACATATTTTATGTCTTTAGTGCAGCAATTACACAAAATCGGTTAAAAATGTGTATGGGAGCTATATCTAAATCTGAACCGATTTTCACGAAACTTAACACGCATCATTCTAGATTCATTTCAGTACGCTATGCTAAATTTCCTGCAAATCGAAAGAAATATTGGGTCTCTAATGCACGATTTTTACAAAACTTAACATACATTACTCTAGACTCAATCCAGTAAACTCTGCAAAATTGCCTGCAAATCGAAAGAAATATAGGGGCTTTAGTGTATCATTTACATTAATTCGGACGAAAATATGTGTGGGAGCTATATCTAAATCTGAACCGATTTCAACAAAACTCAACACACGTCACTCTAAACTCAATTTGGTACGCTACAAATGTTAGTCTCAATCGGATAATTATTAATCATTTTGTTGTGCTATAAGTGTGTTTTAGTTACGTCCTTTTGTTTCAGGAAATATCAGAAAAAGGACTTAACTGACATAAAACCTCTAAAAACCAAAAAAAAAAAAAAAAAAAATTAATAAATAAATACAGTCAAGCCTTGAAAAAAATCCAGCCGTATTC